GGACCCGCTTCCAAACTCATTCTGTCGTTTGTTAAGGTGGAGAGACAAGTCACCTGGCAGGTACCTCTCTCCACCCTCTGCTTTCCCCCCTCACTTTACACCTCAGCTCCAACCTCTCAGCCTTTGAGAACAGGCTTCCCACATTTGAAGGTCACTGATTCCCAGGCTTTGCAGCCATTCTTCCACGGTATCAGATGTCCAAGACACCCCACTTTCCCTGGCCACTGCTCCTGGTCTTTTCAAAGGGGTTTCTGGGCTCCCTATCCTCCTCTCTGAACTCCTGACTCAGAGCTGTCTTTAGCCCGCAAGGTAACCAAACCCTGCAGGTCAGATCAAGCTACCAAAAAGAATTTGAGCAAGTGGCAAACCTCGCTGCCACGGCTGGGCAGTGCCTTGGAGATTAGACCCCAGATCCAACCCAGCAACTCCACTGCCAGAGATTTACCCAAAAGACAGAAAGCAGGGTCTTAAAGAGGAATCTGCACGCCCACATTCACAGCAGCATTATTCCCAATCGCAGAAGAGGGAGCAGCCCAAGTGTGAGTGAGCAGACAGCAAACGCAGTCCATCCACACTGGAATGGTACCGGCCTAGGAAGGAACGAACGTCTGTCTCTTGCTGTACTTGCGGATGAACCTTGATGACACCTGTTAGGGGAAGAGCCAGCCACAACAGAACAGTGTGCAGTTCCACTTATATGAGGGATCTAAGTAGTCAAATTCATAGAGACGGAAAGCAGAAGGGAGATTACCAAGGGCTGGGGGAGGCTGAGTGGGGGCAGTGTCAGTCTGTGGGGATGGCCAAGTTCAGAGGTGGATGGTGATGATGGCTGCGTGCTACATGCATGGACTTAATGCCACTGAGGTGAGAGTGGCACTCTTGCTGCTCTGCCTCAGTATTTCTTACAGTGGGGGCTCAGGTCAGCAGCAGCAGCAGTAATGTCAGAAATGCCACCATCGGGCCCCAGCCCGGACCCACAGATGGGAAACCTGAGAAGCCAGTAAGCTGTGTAACAAGGCGCCAGAGTTCCCGGCATACCCTCAAGTTTGAGAGCCTCTGCTCTGCCCAACCCTACCGATGCTGGCTGTTTTCCACGGCTGAGGTTCCTCCCTCCTCTAGGCCATTCTAGAAGCCCCCACCAGCAGGATTCACATGGACTAGAGACCTACCCATTTCCAGCACACAGAAGGGAGGTGATCCTCCCCCTGGTTCTCAAACACAGCACTATGGATCCAGGATTCAGAGATCCCTGGAATTCCTGTTAATAATATGGATTTCCATCACTCCTCCTTAGAGATGCCAATTCAGCAGGTCTACGGTGGTCCTGGAAATCCCCAAGTGAACCAGTGAAACATGGATGGAGTCAAAAGGCCTGGGTCTAAATTCCAGCTCTGCCATGTTCCTTCATCACCCACGGTTGTTTCTTCATTCCTAAGAGGAACAAACATCCACCTCGGGGGTTGGGGAGAAGAGAAGGTAGGAAGGGTGTGCAGGTCAGAGTGCCTGGTTTAGGGCCTAGCACGTAGTGTCTGAATCAGCAGCAAACCCTGTTACGCCCTTGTTCTTACTGCACAGAATGTGACCCCAGTCAAGCCCACCTCCCTTCCTCACTTTCCCACTGGGGTGGGCCCAACTCCACTCCTGAACGTGAGGCAAGCTGGCTTCTACCTGGTCCTGAGATACACCAGACTCCTACAACACAAAACCCTTCTTCCACAACACCCTCCACCTGACGGCCTCCTCTTGTCCTTCCACCAAGGACTTCCCGAGTTCCACTTACCCACACAGCACCTACAGTGGTGACGCACGTCTCACTCCTAGAGCTTTCACCTCAGGGCTGACATACAACAGGCCCTGCATGACTACGAGTGGAATGAACAAATCCATGATGCAATGGTCATCAACATTCCCGCATTACCCAGCCTTTAGCTAAACAGGCAGAACTCCACAGTCACAGCATTCCACCTGCCCGATTATGAGCCGAAAAAACATGGATTCATGTGCTAGGCCCGTGGCGATTCCGAGAGCACTTCATATACGTGTTCAATGTAAAACACGTAGACTAGCTTGAACTCATTTCTGCCCAAAAGCCCTCCTGGCCACCACCTACAGAGGGGTGCTGGCCTTCCTCAAACTGTCTCTGCAGTGGCAGCTCTATTTCTCTGGCAGTCAGTCAACAAATCTACACTACCAGTCTCAAACATCTTAGATAGTTTTACTTTTGTCTGTGTGGCTCAGTAGGGTCTGTGTCTTCCAACTGAATCCCGCGCAGGACCCACCACAAACTGGCTGTCTGGAATCTCAATACCCCGCTGCTATGCCTCTGTGGGTCACTGTCTGCTTGCCAACCCTGCGCCATCGCAGCCAAGGTCTCTTCACCCCTTCTCTCTGCCTGTCGTTATCAACAAGCATGCAGGCACGCTGAGTCAGATGCCATCCCTGGCCTCACTGCCAACATTCCCGGCTAGGCCCCTTTGCCCTAGGCCCCGTGCCTCAGCCCTGCTGGAGTGTGATCACGATGCTGGCGATGCTGGCAAACTTCAGCAAGGACCCTCTTCCCCTGTGGTCTCCCTAGATCATCCCCCTCAGGAATTCCACACAAAGTAGAACCACCCCAGCTTACTGATCATTTGCCCTCTGAAATCAGAACTGAGCACGTGTCACCTTCCCTCACCTCAGAGTCCCAGTCCCCACACCAACACACCATACTCACCAGCGCAGCCATGGAATCCAGCCCCCTGCCCACACCCAGCACATCTTTCCCATACTAATCTCTTCCCAGATCAGGTCAAGATGCTCTGCTGTAAGCCTTCTGGTCTACCCACACCTCCCACTGCACCAGTAAGCTCCCAGCCGACCCGCATTACCTAATGCTCTTACACTGACGCTTCTGGCCCAGACTTCGGACTTAGGCCTGATTCCACCCTGGCTCTAGCACATGAAAAGCTGTGCAGTCCTGCACAAATAACTTCTCAGAGTCGCCAGTCTTTGACTGTGACCTAAGAGTAAGAACCCCTCAAGGCTGCTGCAAAGATGATTACGTCTAGAAAGGGCCTAACCAAGAACTGAGACACGCCACTATGCCCTAAGTGGGACCTACTACTTCTGTGCACATTTGTGCTCAGAGAGGACCACACGTCTCAAGTGCAGGACAGTCTTAGACAGAGAAAGCTGAAGCCCAGAGGGATAAGCTGACTAGCCCATGAAAGCACAGCTAGAGCAAGAGGCCCACTGCTCAGTGCCTTCTGTGGCCCTGAGGCTTGGTTGGCAGTGCAGCTCAGCCTGCCCTAAGCCTGGCTGGGTTCGCCAGGGGGAGGTCCTGACTTAGCCGCCAGGCCAAGGCCTGTGCTAAGGTCACTCAAGCTCCAGGGCCCTTCCTCCTCAGGCTGTCTCTTCTAAGGCTAGGAAGCAGAGTCAGAATCTGCACTTTAACAAGCTCCTCAGGTGAATCTAGTGTATTGCTTCAGAAAAGAGGCCTCTCTACTTTCAGTCTGAAGTTTTTCTTTTCTTTTCTTTTTTTTTTTTTTTTTTTTTAAGGTTTTTGCTATGGTGTACATGCCCTCACAGGAGAGATGGTGAGAGGGGAAGTAAGAAATCACCCCTCTGAGGGGATGGCCACACCACAATCTTCTCCTCCTGGGACTTTTGGCACTTACACACATGCGCCCAGAGTCTTAAGCCACCAGATCCAGGACTCGAACTGCAGTCAGTCGTGTGGGAGTCCAGTGCCCCAACCACCACACTATCTGCTGGCCTTGAGTTTCTTCCAATACATTATTGATGTTTTAGTTTACCGGGTCTTGTTTTTGAATATTTTCCACGTTGCCCAGAAGGCAATGTGGCTGGTACAGCTGAGGAGCACAGATTCTGTAGACTCTGAGGTCAAACTATTCCATTCAAAACCTACTGCCTAGGGCTGCTGGGAAACTCTCCCAAGAGCTGCAGATTGCCCAGCACAGGGCCAGGCACTCAGGAAT